AGAATTCATTACAGCACACTAACACCAGCTTTATCATGAGCTCTGGAATCATTTTCCAAAGTGCTGTGAACTGAATTAGTTCAGTCTACTGTTCATGTGCACACAATGCTGAAGTGCACTACTTTGGCAGTCCTCCATCTGCTATCCCACACTGCTTTGCAGGTGTCTGTTACTGACCTGTTTCCCTGTGTGCCCTCCACTGCTCTGGTGTCCAGTTGACCTGATGTTCCCTTCCCTGTTTCAAAACTGGTATGTGGCCATAATTTGCTCATTTGCTCCTGGATTTGAGTATATCAACATTGCTATGATGTAACTCAGAAGCTTTATAATGTGCCTCGAGCAGCCACTTGGAGCTGTGCAGAGCCCTGGATCTCATTGCCATCTGGGGAGAAGCATCGGTGTAGCAAGTCTTAGGGGCTAGCCTCTGGAAGAAAGAAAGATGCCTTTGAAGACATTGCAAAGCAGATGTCCATGAGGAGTCCTAACCAAGGCACTGATTAGTGCTAGCTCGAGTAAACAGGTCAGGAGAATGTACATTAAAACAAAGGATGCCAGGAAACAGTCCAGCTGTGGAAATATGACCTCTGAGGGTTTATTTTTCCCTATTCCCCCAGCCATGGCACCTACAGTGGCCAGACCCACAAGAACAGAACCTTTCCCGATGGCCAGGTGTCTGGCTGAGTTGAGGAAGAAGCAGAGAACTCGGTGGGAAATCTTTGCAGACTTCTCCCCAAAATTGAAAACAACTGAGAGTTGGGGATTGTATTTGATGTCAGAGAGCAAAAACCAAAAAACAGGGAGCTATCCAAAGAGAGCTTTGAAATGGCCAGAAAAAGCACCACAGTGGCCAGAGATAGCATTGCCATGGCAAAAACCACTGTGGAGGAAGATAGGGAGATGCAGAAGCAATTCCTGGAGGCAACACAGAAGCAGAATGCTCTGCTGCAGCCCATGCTGCTAGCAGACACACAGACAATCCAGTGCCCTCATCACAGGGTACTGGGAACACCAGCATATGTTCCCCACTGTACCCTGGCAGCCTTGCTTCCAGAGGCCAATTCACTCCCTGGCTCAAGCTCAGGGCAGCGAGAACAGTTGGTCCTGGGAGCCCAGCTGACATCAACTAGCCCCTCTTCTGTCCAACTAACAGCCCAGTTCTGTAGTTCAACTCAGCCTCTTCTCCTTTTCCCTGCCCCCCTCAGTTCTTGTTGCTCCATTCCCACTTAGCCCTGTTGGATACTTACGTCTCTGAGTGGCAATTCAATACTGTTGTGCCACTGTCTGTCACTCAGTGGGCCTCCACACTCTCCTGTTGCCCTGGTCTGGATTACATGAAACCTGACACTTAACTTGCCCATATATTACCTCTGCTTTGTGTTCCTGGCTTCTGGGCAATAGACCTTTTTCCCAGTCAGAAAGGTGACACCATTAATAACTCTCTATTGTCACGGTTAGTTACATAAGGAGGTACTTCTTCACACAGTGCACAGTTAACCTGTGGAACTTGTTGCCAGGGGTTATTGTGAAGGCCAAAAGTATTAACTGTGTTCAAAAAAGAATTAGCTAAGCTCATGGAGGATAGGTCCATCAATGGTTATTAGCCAAGATGCAACTTCTGACTGCCAGAATCTGAGTCTGGACAACAGGGGATGGATTATTTGATAATTGCCCTGTTCTGTTCATTCCCTCTGAAGCAACTGGCATGGGCCACTTTCGGAAGACAGGATACTGGGCTAGATGGACCTTTGGTCTCACACAGAGTGGACATTCTTATATTCTTATGTCTGAGCCTATGGGACACAGCTGGTAAGGAAGCTCTGACAAAAGTACAGGAGGTGCTGAGTCATGAGTTCTCATAGATTTTTTAGTGGGGACAACTTCCAAGGAATAAGATAGTCCAGTAGGCCATTTACCCCTCCACCTCCCCTACCATAATTCCATTAGTCTTCCCAAACCTTCCTTGTGAGTACAATAATACTTGGCTAACATGCATGTGTACAATAAATAACCGTAAAGACAGATTAGTTTCCTCCGCTCTCATAGATTTCCTTTCTCCTGCTTTTCCACTTTGCCACTGTCTGCTGAGGTAATTTATTGGGGTCTCTTTCTTCCTGCTGGCTGTTCCTCTCCCTGCATCTTCTTATTTCACGGCAGCCCCTGCTGGAGGCTCCCAGGCTTGTTTCTCTTTCTTCGTATCTACAAAAAGAAACTGAACTCTTCTCTGTCTATTAGGCATTTATATGGCCCCTCTCAGAGTATATTAGCACCATCAAGAAACTAGGCACAGCAAAACTGTGTGATTTGCACAAGGTCACATAGGATATCTGCAGCAGAGTAGGACTTGAACCCAAGTCTCCTATGGCACAGGGTAGGGCCACTGTACCAGCCTTCCTCTCAGTTGTGTGAACAAAAGGGGTGGAGCTAGCAGACGTGAGCAAGGAGGACTCTGTGGACCACAGTTTGAGAGGCCCGTGTTTCTATTTACTGAACTCAAATATTGGAATCATTAAAAGAGAGCCTTAAACATGGCAAAGTCAAGACTACTGCAAGAGGTGGCCAGTGGTGGAATTAGAGGTGGATTTAGAGGAATTGGATATTTTGGACCTTGGAATTAGAGGAATTGGATATTTTGGACCATGAACTGGTAGTGAATTAAAGCAAATTAAGACTTAACACTGTGGTTAACAGATTTCGGAAGTGATTGCCATTCAGAAGCAGTTTTATAAGTTTATACATGTCAAGACATGATTCTCACCTGATAAGTTTGCAGCTTTCTGCACAGACCTAAAAAAAAACTAAACAAAAAACAGAGGTGCAATTTTACATACAGCTAAAAAAAAAAAGTGTACTAGCTATTAGATTTTCATCCCCTGATAACATGACTTTGTAATTGAAGCAACATGATTGTAAGAGCTTTGTACTGCACAATAGCATATCCCAGGAGTGCTGTGAAGTACAAGACACAGTAGAGTATTTTCAGAGAAAGTGTGGCAGGAGGAGTTAGGAACGTGTTAATAAAAGATGAGCTCTGTGTGTGATGTGGGTAAATCTTCCGTAAAATAAAGCCATTAGAGCTAGAAAAGTTTCAGAGTAACAGCTGCGTTAGTCTGTATTCGCAAAAAGAAAAGGAGTACTTGTGGCACCTTAGAGACTAACCAATTTATTTGAGCATAAGCTTTCGTGAGCTACAGCTCACTTCATCGGTTGCATACTGTGGAAAGTATAGAAGATCTTTTTATACACGCAAAGCATGAAAAAATGGGTGTTTACCACTACAAAAGGTTTTCTCTCCCCCCACCCCACTCTCCTGCTGGTAATAGTTTATCTAAAGTGATCACTCTCCTTACAATGTGTATGATAATCAAGTTGGGCCATTTCCAGCACAAATCCAGGTTTTCTCTCCCTCCCCCCCCCACACACAAACCCACTCTCCTGCTGGTAATAGCTTATCTAAAGCGATCACTCTCCTTACAATGTGTATGATAATCAAGGTGGGCCATTTCCAGCACAAATCCAGGGTTTAACAAGAACGTCTGGGGGGGGGGGGGAGTTAGGAAAAAACAAGGGGAAATAGGCTACCTTGCATAATGACTTAGCCACTCCCAGTCTCTATTCAAGCCTAAGTTAATTGTATCCAATTTGCAAATGAATTCCAATTCAACAGTCTCTCGCTGGAGTCTGGTTTTGAAGTTTTTTTGTTGTAATATCGCAACTTTCATGTCTGTAATCGCGTGATCAGAGAGATTGAAGTGTTCTCCGACTGGTTTATGAATGTTATAATTCTTGACATCTGATTTGCGTCCATTTATTCTTTTACGTAGAGACTGTCCAGTTTGACCAATGTACACGGCAGAGGGGCATTGCTGGCACATGATGGCATATATCACATTGGTGGATGTGCAAGTGAACGAGCCTCTGATAGTGTGGCTGATGTTATTAGGCCCTGTGATGGTGTCCCCTGAATGGATTTGTGCTGGAAATGGCCCACCTTGATTATCATACACATTGTAAGGAGAGTGATCACTTTAGATAAGCTATTACCAGCAGGAAAGTGGGGTGGGGGGAGAGAAAACCTTTTGTAGTGGTAAACACCCATTTTTTCATGCTTTGTGTGTATAAAAAGATCTTCTACACTTTCCACAGTATGCATCCGATGAAGTGAGCTGTAGCTCACGAAAGCTTATGCTCAAATAAATTGGTTAGTCTCTAAGATGCCACAAGTACTCCTTTTCTTAGAGCTAGAAAACAAGTCTGGCCAGAGCAACAGTACTTAGTCTTACAGTTACACAGTTAAACCAGTGATAGGCCCAAACAGCAACATTTGGCTCCAGATGAGAATTTCACCCAGTTAGAAGTTATTCCAAGGGATGCGGAGGAGGTTGGGTTAACTCTTTGGAGAACTAGGGGCTAGGTTTGAACCTCTGGTTTGAACCTAAACATCCTCAAAATTCAGGGATATTCTAATCTGGAGTTTTAGTTCAAGCCCACCTGCACAACCCCTTTCAAAATGTGCTATATCTAAACAGATAAAGGTTGGATCAAAGTTCCACTAAACCTTGGAAAATTACAGCCAAAAAGCAGTGATAGTCACGATGCAATACATACGAAAGGCTCTTAAAAATCCTTTGTTACAGATGGCTTCAGCAACTGCAGGACACATTTTGGCAATGGCTCTTTTGGGTGATGGGTTAACAATTATTGAAATAACTCAATGCTGCCACAACATATAGTAATGCAGCGTTAACAGTAAACACTCATATATTATTGAAACAAATATTTGAGTGCCTGAAATTAAAAACAATGAAAACATTCATATTTTACAACTATACTCGTAGTTGTTCTTGAAAAAATATTGTTTTGACATAGCTTTTGAAAATACAACTTATTCTTGTAAAATGAAACTTTATTCTAAAATGTATCCAAAATTGCAAGACACAAGCACCATTAAACAGATAAATAGACATATATTTATGTACAGAGAGCATTAAAACACAAAACAATTGTTAATATAATTCTTATACCATTTTAATGAGTTTCCATCAATAAAACTTTAAACTTTAAAGAAGACTTTTCGGTTGCAAAACAGTTGTAAAATCATATGTATAAATTATGTCTATTACAATTCCAATAACAGAGGCAAAGTAAAATACAAAAATAATCAATACTGCAAATTCAAATACAAAACCCAAAATAATGTAGCACAGGTAAATATGTACACTTGATGAATTCATGCAGCTATGCAGTGCAACAAATTAACTGTTTAATTTAACTTATCACAAAATGGAACCACCATGTCTGCAAGCAGAAGAAAATATGTTTTGTAATAAATCATAGTGCATTTAGAAGTTCAACTTTATAAAATGATTGCTGAGTGATATATTTCTAAAATTCCCCATGTGGTCTGACAGTCCCCAAAGTCCTCTTCTGCAAAATAACATATAAAGGACAAAAGTTTAAAAACAAAACAAAACCCCAACCATTCTAGACCAGATTTTGATGCCAAATTTTTATATTTTTACTTGTACCATCTTGGTTTTTAGTCTTCTTACCAATCCTATTTCCAAGTGTCCATGTCCCTAATGACATATGTTACACCTCCTTACCAAAGTGAACCTTCCACAGTCAAATGCTATACTCCATAAATAGAATCTAACACAGCTCTTAGACTGCACTGGTTTAAAGAGATAACTCTGTAGCTTCAAAAAGGCAACTATGAACCCCCAGGAATCAGAGAGAATGAGAGTAAAATGGTGGATAGGGAGACTCCTTTACACCTGAAGTTTCTAATTTAATTACACAAACTCATATAAAATAAAAGGCTTTATGGCTTTGCTGAAAATTTCAATAATGCATTAGGCAGGTACAAAGCCAATATATGTGAAGTTCTGTTGTCTTTCATAGTGTAGAAGGCTGCAGACTATTCTGGTTGGTGAAGAGAGATAAGCCTCAGATAACCAGGTAGAAAAATATTTTAATGTTGAAAATGTTCTAGAAATAGTGAACAAAATCAAAATAAGGAACCTTTTTAAAAAAAAATGTGATTTTTTGTGTGTAAACCTGGCTGTTCACCGTTCAGTTTTGCTGTTGATTGGTATATCAGAATCAAAGCATGTAGATACTATTGAGATTCATACTTCATAAAATATTAGTTGTTAAGTGTCAAAATTAGATGAGATGCAATTATACAGTCTGACACTTGTGTCTCTGAAACTTGTTAAAGTGCTAAGCACGCTCAGTGTTTTCACTAGAAAGAAGTTGGGAAAACGCTACATTTCTCTGGTTGCCGAAAAGACACTGGCTTACACCAGCATACACCCCTGTGAAGGTCCTCGTTCTGCATTCTCTGTACTCTCCAAACTCCTTCTCAAATAATTGTCAGGTGAATGGGAGTTGTGAGTGAACAAGAGATGCAGGATGGAGCCTGTATTGGGTAAACAGAATGACATTTGTGTAGCAATATTTCTAATTGCTTTACGAGCAGTCCCACAGATGGAGATGGCAGAAAGCAAATTTGTGTTTTATGATCTTATGAAGAATATGACATTCTTGAATGGGTAATGCCCCACTGGGTGAAACATACACACTAGCCCAAATAGTCTCAAATGTTCTTATGTCAAATGTTTCCATATTGAAGAAGGACATCAGAGTTACTAGACAGCAGGTAAAGATATCAAACCACCAAGAAAAGGGGAGGAAGTTTATCTACTCACATATGTTAAAGGCACAGGAAATAAAAGGTATGGTAGTGGTCTACATTTAATGTAAATTATACATTGTTTTTGCTATACATGAGAGAGATTTATTTTTCTCCTCCGAACTGCCTCAAGTTCATAGAATGCTAAAAAAAATTGAAGGTATAAATATAATGGCACATTAAAATGAATAATGCTACATATGATCACAGACTAATTGCTATATTTTTGCCTCTCTATATTTCTGCCTCTCTGGCAGGTCATCTGGGTGATCTTCTATGTCCATAGAATGGCAAATCCCTTTTGAACATAAAAATTATTCATTCACTATAGATTTACCAAGACAGCTGGAAGTGTATCAGCTGAGTCACAGAATGGATCCTGTTGTTTTGATGCACCTGAAAAGCAGTCAGTTAGCTGCCATCACAGTCACTTTTCCAATTACAACAATTGTGCCATTTGCCCTTTTCCCTAAAATTCAATGAAACCCAGAAATAGCAAGAGAAACAGCCCCGTTTTCATGTGAGTATAACATTAAAATTAAGATGATTCTTGAACATAACTTTTGGCTGCAGTTCAGCCCCTGAAATATCTAACTGGTAAGCAGTGACTGTATTAGCACATAATAAACAGCCTTTTCCAACACTTCATTCAATGCCACACAATAAGCATATTCATTTTCAATATAAAATGACTTGCAATTCAGAAAACAAAGCAAACATATCAGTATAGCTGCTGGTAGGCTCATGAAAGAAAATGAAATCTACTCTTGTCTGATGAAGTTTTAAGCTAAGTTCAGAGGTAACTTCTGCATCTCAGCACTTTGGTTGTGAGAAGTTGGGCACACTAGGAACGTGATAAAGGCATGAGTGACCACATTTATATTTTTTTAATCTCCACTGTTCCTTAACATGTAGGAGAGGGAGCTCTTGCTGCAATCAGTATTGTGATTTGCTGCCAATAATTAGTGGAGAGTGTTGGCAAGTTGCAGTAGCATAACAGGAAAACCGGGAGGCTTGATGTTTGGTGCAGGCTATGGGGCTTAGGGTAGAATATGTTCTGCAAGGAGCTTGTTAGCCCATGCAATGATACCACCTACAAGGAGCTAATCATCTAAAACATGGGATTCCCACATCTCTAAATCGGGATGTGGCAAAAGGCAGACGTTGACAAGAGACAGTGTGAAAAACATGAACTGCCAGTACGACTGATCTACTCAAAATCCTGAACTATGAACTGCTAGATCACTGACTTTCCAAACAGCCCACGTTGTTCAGTAATACTCGTGACAGAGGAAAATAAATGCTGACTGCCATGCATAGAAAATTCATCTAAAACAAAGGCTATGCACATTCACACTTTTTGGCTACAACTACCTAATATTTTGAAGTTAGACAGCAACAAACATGATTGGTTGATTTTAGTTCCCCTATGTAATGGTTTCCTTATTGGATAGTTTAAATGAATGAACCTCTTTTGTGCACCCATCAAAGATTATTAATAAAAAATTAACAATATCCACTGAACTAAGGTTAACATTTTTAAAAGGGGGTAAAACTATTCAAACAAAAATCAGCTCAAATTCTATTAAAAAAGGAAAATATAAGAGAGTCAAAATGCTGAAGGCAAGAATCTAATGTGAAAAGTTAGACTCCAAGATTGAAGAGCACAGAAAACCATGCAGTATTTCACAAAAATTCCAGTTTTGTTTTGGGGTGAAATTCTCACCCACAATTGTGTTAAATCCAAAAGATGAGTTTGGTATGGGGGACCTGACCCCAGGATGTGGCATACCCCTGGAGCTGGGCCATGGTTGCTGCTAGAACATATGGGCTGCAGCAGAAGATGCAGCGGTGCAAGGTACCTTCCCACATGTTTGTGGTTAGTTGAGCCACACAATTCATGGACCCATTGGCCATGCCCCGGTCACAAATTTTCCTTGGGTACAACCGTGGAGCTTGGTTTCATGGCATTCAAGGGAACTATGAATTTTTCCTGTAGTGTGGCTTCCTTTTCACACCAGGCAACCACAGTGATTGTGTTACATGTTAAGCCTTCTGAGACACTTCTGTTGGGAGGGAAGGAGGGGCACTGTCTCAATACATAACTACAAAATCATCATCAAATTAAGTGTGCACATTTCTGCACAATAGTGCCAATAATACCAAAACGCCATCACATGGAATAGATGGTGGAGAACAGGAGAATATTTCACAAAGTAGTTATGGACTGCTCCATTCTTTGATAGATGATTTGTTTTCTAAAGGACTTAGACCAATGATTCAAAAACAGAGGCATTGTGAGGGCAACTTTCAAGTGGTTGCAGGTACAGTAGTAAATATCTCCCAAAGCAAAACGCAATCATTTGGGAAGTGAAGTGATGGATGTCAGGCAGCTTGTTGGATCTCTGGGTACTTATTGCTTCTCTTCTTAAATGATTAAAAAGGATGCTTTTAAAAATTATTCACAAACAAGGTCTAAAGAGATTTGCACCTGGAATGATTTTCCATTCTAAAGTAAGGCTCACTAGTTTATGTGCTTTTAAAGCAGAAATCTTCCCTCAAAGATGATATTTGTGAGACTTGTTTTTTAACTTTATATGGTGGTGGTGTGAAATGGAGTGGTTCTTGCAGCAGGTGTAGACTATGAAGATCAAGTTTGGGGGACTAGGACAGCTGGTGCAGAAACCCACAAAATTTAGGAAGACCCCCCCACATACTAGCAGCTTTGATTTTAATTCATTTGAACTTATTAGTGTACCCTTGTATGGAAACAGGATTGTGTTTTCTGAACTATATCCTAGAACATTTCTTTGTTTTCTCAAATTAAATTTCTGCTTATTTTGAATGTTGCATTTTGAATAAAGATTTTCCTCTCTTTATAAAATTAGGGATTGACTAGTAGTCTAATTCACAATTTTGGAAACTATTCTTTCTCTATGACACACCTGTCTAGTTGTTTAAAGGTGACCTGCAAAGGATCTTTTGGTATAATTGGGTTTGTGCTCTTTTTGCCTTTTCAATGATATATAAAGGGGCTCTCAAATGATCTTTTGAAGTTTTTTCTTTTTTACCTTACCAGTATCACAAATATATCCTTGATTTTTTGGGGGAGAACCACTAGGAAGTAGAAGGGATGTTTACTGTGGGCTTTTAACATTTTAATTGAAAGGGTGAAGGTGTCAAGTATTTAATAAAGGCTTCCTTTATTCAAAATATTAATTAGTTATTTCAGTTAAATAGCTGTTAAAGAAAACAAGCAAAAACCAGTTTTAAATGGTCTGAGTAAAAATTCCTTCTCTCTCAATAGCTCAAGTTTCTTGGCTCATGCTGTCAGCTGTTTCACTAGTTGTCTGGATATCATAAAATATCCATGCCCAGACAGGGTCTGAATTCCTAATATGTAAAAAAATAACAAGCAAAAACCAAAAACCTACAACCTTTCAGGTCTTCTTTGTACAAAATAACAAAAAAAAAAAAAAAATGGAGAGGGAGGGAAGGTCAATTTTACTTTCCTTTGCCGGCCACCTGAATAATTCTTACTAAGAATGCAATTCATTTAGTAGAGGAGGGCAAGACTTTGTACCTCACATGGGCACATTAGTAGCGCTGTGTAGGGATTGTGAGCATAGTATGCAGGTAGTGCTTCCTTATCTCCTGCACTTGTGTCCAGTACCTGATGCAGAAGAAGTAGACCAGAGGAGGGGCCACTGGATCCATGCTTATATGGTTACAGTGGCAGGGACCCCTATAAGCTGGAACAGTGGCTGTGAAGTGCCATGCTGTAGTTCTGTAGCCCGCATTGTGGGTTGGAGATGGTGAAAGGAAGGATATCCATTCCCGGCTTAGTTCCCTGCACAGAGTCCAATTACTCAGGCTTTGGGTTGGGAAGGGTAATCTCAGCTGAACTGGAAAGCACACACTGATGCATACCCAACATTAAGACAATGAAATGTGTTAAACTGCAGCCAGCAATTGCTTGCTGAACTCTAACACCAAGCTCTCTAAAAGGACCTGAACTCGGGTGAAATTTCTTTCGTTACATATGATTTAATGTCCCTGTTAATGGCTGATATATGTGCTGTGTAAAATAAATTCTGAAACCCCTAAGCGTGCTTAACAAGGCTTTAACCACATGTGAACAGCAAGTTTTGACAACAGAACAAGTACTACAGTACCATAAAATACACATGGCTGTTCAATCAAAAGCCACCTCTTGCTTTGAAACAAGAATTTACAGTCTTAAGCAATGGTGACAAGATTTCTTACACAAAACCTACAATAATGTACAGAGTATGCATGATTGCCGAAGTTATAATGCCAGCATTAAAAAATATACATTTTTCTACATAGAATGTCTTGTGCAAATGTGAACAAGTTGACAATAGTTTACCAATGCTTTAAATAACTGAAATAGATATAATCCACCAGATAGTAAATTCTTCCTTCCCCCCAACAGTAAGCAGGTGTTGCCAGATGCATGAACGGCCAACCTATGTAATAAAGGGTTTTTAACATTGGGCATGTGCATGCATGTGCACACACATAGACATACACACAAAAATTGTAGATGCACCACAATATTTTTTGCAAGGGGATACTTGCCACAAAAAGCCCAAATCAAAGTTGGTCTTTGCACACTTAAATCAATTTGATTTACATTTCTTTAACTGCCATTACAAATTTATAGATGTTTCTTGTAAAGATGCTCTCTTTTTTTCTTGAAACTTAAATTTTATTAGAAATAGAAAAGCCCCCAAAGCACCAGCTTCCACTTCATTTATACCATTGTTTAATGCTGATTTTTCTGTTTTTACTTAGGAATTAATTTTTTTTCCATTTAAGAATAATCTGAAATGTGGTAAGTCCAATAAAAACTGGGAGTTCTTTAGAAATTTTTTAATAGCTCTGGGAAATATTTTATTGACATTTTTGAAGGTCAAATTTCTGAATAATATTGTTTAAAAGTATAATTTTAAAAATATCAACTTTCAGTTTTCTGCAAACACTTTAATTTCTGATGCACTCTTAGTCTAGTTGTCAAAACGCAAGGCACTCAGACTTTGCCCATCCCTTATCTATAATAGTCATGGGCTATGGCGATTATATGTTCCAGTCTGTAATGTTCTCTCTTGGTTCAGAGGGGGATCTCACCTTCATCTGAATGGTCTCCCACTATGACCTATAGTCTCTGGGGGGTGCACTTATATATTGAAGAACAGGGCAGTTACCAAATCTGGGCTATCTCTTTTGTTGATGTGTGTCGCTAACCAGTTTCTCACTGATAAAGTACAATTCTCAAATCATGGACTTTCCAAGGACAGCTTTAGTAAAGCAGTGTTGCAGCCTTCTATTTCAATTATGTGTGTTTTATTCAGGATGGATTTTTTCTCCCCATTTTCTATGGGAAACAGCAACTCTTGTTTTAGATCATTTTAAGAGGCACAGAGTGTCTGTTGCCTGATTTAGAGCATAATCCTGTGAGATGCTACATGCCCTAATTTCTACTGCTGAGGATTCCTCGCAACGTACAGGATCAGGCCTTGAGGAAACAGGCTATTTCTTACACAAAAAATGTTTATTGCAACATCTCTAATGAAATAATCTATGTACGGTTAGGACTCTATTCACAAATGTAAGCAACATTTTGCATGGATTTTGTGTAAATTATTCTTGCAGCAATTGCACACGATTTTTGTGCAAACAGCTGGCATGCAATAGGATGGGTGGAAAACAGAAGTCCAAAGAGAGAGGAGAAAAAAGGAATATAGACATTAACTCTATAAATAAAACCTAGGAACAGCTAATTTACACAGCTGATAATTTGCCTCCCTAATTTTCACATCAGTTAATTATTAACAGTGGTTTCATTTTATTTGGTTTCTGTCAAAAGTGGGTATAGAAGTAATTGTTATCATTTCCTTCTGTGCAGGGGCAGGAGTAAATATAAATAATACAATCCTACTTTCCATGTGTTTCAGTTCTCCTATTCCCCATTTCAGTAAAACAGGGCACTGAGAAAATACCAAAATCTTGTTTAAATCATCCATGTTTGCCCTGGATTCTCTATACAAACTTGAGTGCCGCCAAATTTTTGCTGTTAGTAAAATGAAACTGGGGATTCTCTTCTTGGCATATGAAGATCGGGAGGAAGCCCCCAAATGCATCATCATGTGAACACATACTGTAACGTTTACAGACGTGAATAACTAGGCAGCAGAGATTGTCACACATTGGAGTATCTGGAATTTAGTGAATGGCTTTGTGTACTCTTGCAGGTGAATCATCCACTACTTACCAAACTCTGTGCACATGCCAGTGTGTCTACTTTGTGTCGTTCAGTGTCTGCTTAATGCAAATACAAAGCCATACACAGCTAACTGGCCATAGATGGCCATCCATCATATAGTTTAAAAAATTGGTGTACACATAAAACTCAAATATTTGTGAATAGAGCCTTTATAATTTTCTCACATATGATTTTAGGAATCACAGTTTTTGAATGTAATTTGTTATTTGTTATGTAATTTGTTACGATTGAATAAAAATGTTTTGATCCAATTTCTCAAAGCTGTGTCATTCAGCAAATATTTAGTATGCTGAATTCAAATGAAAAACAAAAGCAATTTATTTTCTCTACCTCCTTTACACATAGAAATTAAATGGTGGCTAGAAACTGAAGGTTTCAAGTTATAAATGGAAACTGTGTTTTTATTAAACGTGAAAACATGTACCCAAGAAAAGGGCATACACCTTTATACATTTTTATGGCAAGTTTTCCCATTACATGAGAGGCTTCCTTATATATTTTAAACTTAAATGATGAACAGTAACCAAACATAAGTTTGGATAAAAACTGCACTGCTGTTAACTGTTTTAATGAAAAAATATGAATGCACAATTTAAAACAAGATGAAAGGACATGTTCATAGAAATATTTTAAGTAGCTGTGGAGAGAGGTCTGATAAATTAAGAAACAGAAGAAAGCCAAATCCCATTCCAGGTATCAATTATATTGATGCATAAATACACTCTTGCATTGCTAAAAATTTTAAAAATAAAGTGTCTATTTCAGGGAAGACTCAAGAATGAACAATTTAGGCTCCAATCCTACAAATTCTTATACATCTTAAATTTAAGCCTGTGAGGCATCCCATTGACTTCGTGTGTTTGCAGGATCAGAGTTTTACTACGTTTTTTGAGTGGAAGGTCCAGTTATTCATTCTAAATTTATTACTGTAACAAGCTGCAAATATGATAATATTGGTAAATTGAACTAATGTGTGCAGCCAAAGCAATGATTTGTATCTATGAAGAGCTCATTGGCCTCTTTCCCTTCATAACCAACATCATTTTGTTGATTTCAACCTGCCCTTTACATTTTGCTGTACCTATGTTTATGGCTAAATAAGATTACAAGCCAAATAATCCTGCAAACCTGCTCCTCACATGAGCAGTTGCATCAAGACTTCAATGGGACAACTTGCATGAGTAAGGGCTTGCAGCACCAGACCAATAATGTCCGGAGAAACAAAGGAAGCTACACACACAACGTATTTAAGTATAACTCATTTACATTTGAGGGCTGAACTGAATTTCTTATATCTGTTTTTTTGCACCATGAAATATTGAGATAGATCCTTAATGTGATCATTTGCTAACATTAAATTGCCACATCAGCTTGTCTGAAGAGAAATGAGTTGTCACTTGTACGGAAGGGAGTCTAACAGTTTTTATTTGCAAACTATGTGGTTCAACATGATTCCTACCCTCAAAGCCACCCAAACAAACCCAAATGGGATTGGAACTGGAGCTATCATCAGTTGCAATTTACTTCTCCTGGCAATTTTTTTTTTGCATCATTAATCTGTAAATTTGTTGTGCCCTACAACTTTCAATGTATAGGACCAAATCTTACCGAATTTGGCCCATATTTAACAACAACAAAAAGTACTAAAGATGGCTAGGAACAGAGCTAAAACACTTAAAAATAATTAAATGATCCAGGAAATAGACATCAGTGCAATATTTATCAGCTGAAAAGTCATTATATCAAGGGAAAAAAATTAAAATATACAACTCTGAATATTGTAACAGCTGGTCCCTCATTAAATTACCCATCTAATTCCAAACCCTCTCTACATACAGTATTTCATTTGCTAATTATGGGACAGGGGAAAATTCAAATGTGTTTTAGCCACTGTAGGAATTTGTTATCCTTCTAACGCAGAGATTCCAGCCTCATGGAGTATGGTGTCCAGTTTTGGGCACCACATTTCAAGATGTGGACAAACTGGAGAGAGCTTACAGGAGAGCAACAGACATGATCAAAAGTTTAGAAAACCTGACCTATGAGGAAAGGTTTAAAAAATTGGGCATGTTTAGTCTTGAGAAAAGAAGACTTGGGGGGACCTGATAACAGTCTTCAAATATGTTAAGGGCTGTTATAAAGAGGATGGTGAATAATTGTTCTCTGTGTCCACTAAAGTTAGGGCAAGAAGTAATTGGATTAATCTGCAGTAAGGGAGATGAGGTTATATATTAGGAAAATCTTTCAAATTACAAGAATAGTTAACTACTGCAACAGGTTGTGGAAGCGTTGTTGTGGAATCCCTGTCACTGGAGGTTTTTAAGAACAGGTTTAACAAACACCTGCCACAGATGGTCTAGGTATACTTGGTCTTGCCTCAGTGCAGAGCGCTGGATTAGATGACCTCTCGAGATCCCTTACAGCCCCATATTTCTATGATTCACACAGAAGAAAGTTTTTAAATCACCTCTGCTAGTTTGAGCTACTCAAAATAATTAATTAAACTAAAATATTTCCCTTTAAAATACAAAGCTCATAGGTGGACTGGATGTTTCAGGCTCATTGGAAATGGTGCCTTTCACTATGGGTCACTACTTCAAAACCGGAGCAGGTTGGTGACTGAAAGTTATTACTATAGCTGATTGTCTAATAAGCTGGTGGTCCAATCCCTAACAAGCAGGTTTCCAATAAAAATTGGCAACTGTGGCACTCAGCAGAGAGACAAATGACTTCAAGCACTGGAGACAGAACTACTCTCTCTCTTTTCAATGGCAGGCCCTCCAGATCAAGGTTGAGGCACACTACTGGGGCAGTGTGGGGTGCACAAAAGACTAGTCTCAAGGGCTTTCAAATCCAGCACCTTTCATGAACTCTAAATTCATTTTAAAATAAACTGAGGAGCAACACAGAGCTCAACTTCAGTTCTTCACACACAAATTTACTAGAAAATAATATAAGTGCCCTATCTATATATAAAAATATTAAGGTACTTTTTAATGTACATTTCAGGCAGCCTATTGTTCTTGTGATTCATACAACCTCTTTCACTCCTTTTTTTTTAATGAATATGGAAGGAGAGTTAATGTCTCCACAAACCTTTGTGTGGAAATAAAATATGGACACAAAGATTCCTTTGCACATGTTTACACAGACAGTGAAATCTTGCTTCCATTCAAATCAGAGGCAAACTCACTCCTACTCACTTCAGTAGGACCAGGATTTCAACCAGCATCTCTACAGAGAGAAAGAAAACCCACTATTCCCTGCTTTCGATGTTCTAAGGCTCCATCTCTTCTCTTTTAAAATATTTTACTGAAAAAAAAAGTGTTTGGCAAATCAGGCCTTACTCTTCTCCATCTTAAAAAAACATAAGAAGACCACTATCTTAAAACTTAGTGCGAAAGCTGACCTGCTACCCTTAAATTAGCATTACTTCCAGATCTGGACAATTTCCATCTGACAACGCTGGTGCATAAGCATAAAAACAAACAGCAGTTACAGTACACATCAACATCTAGTGCATGAGAAACACTGGTGGGAGGGAAAAAAAAATCAGTGCTTGGAAATAAAATTCCCTTCCATCTCAATTTTGGTCTCTATATTGCAAACTTATAAAAGAATTTTGTAAGCAAAAGAAAGTTAACAAACAAAAAACCTGATACAAATTTGAAAGCTAAAGGCGTCCTTTGAATATGTTGCATATTTAGCAAATACAAGTATTATTCCCTGTGGCTTAGCTGCAGAAAATGTGTATGTGTGATCTAAGCACCTGATCTTGCCAACATGTATGTGAGTAACTTTACTTATGTATGTAAACTTTTCCAGGATCATTCTCTAAAAAGGGAAGGTAAGAGTAGCAGAGATCATTACTTATGTGTGATGAAGTTTGTCATAACAACTCAAGAGATGCATCGGATGATCAAATGGGTCTTTTTCCATCTCTAATTATGTACAGCCCTGATCTTTCAAAGACTTAAGCACATGTGCAACTTTACATACCTGAGTGGTCTCACTGGAGTCTATGAAACTACTAAGGTGTGAAAAGATATGTACATGTTTAATTCTTTGCAGGAGTAGGGTCTATAATTCCCACTGCATCCGATGAAGTGAGCTGTAGCTCACGAAAGCTCATGCTCAAATAAATTGGTTAGTCTCTAAGGTGCCACAAGTACTCCTTTTCTTTTTGCGAATTCCCACCTAAGTACTGTAGGGGCTGATTCTGCTCCCTTTTAAGTCAATGACAAAATTCTTACTGACTTTAGTGATGAAGGATCTATCCCATTACTTAGCAGTTTAATTTAACACAAATATTTTGGAAGGGACTAGAAGAGGAGGTGAGGACACAAGAAGTTGAGAGGTTGTGCTACAAGTGGGACAAAATTGGGAAGGGGGTGCTAAAAAAAATCACAGGAAAAAAATCTGTGTTGCCAGAAGCACATCATGCTATTGTAGGTAAACTAGGAGAAAATATTTTGATGGTGATTTTACATTTAAAATCATTGTCCTGGACATTTAGTACATTTTTGACAGTTCTATTTTAAAGGATATGATTTCTATTTTATATTCTGGTTTGCATCACTTTTATTTAATGGTCATATTTATTTCCCCATGAAGGAATCCATAAACTAAACAGTTCCTGGTAATGTAAAACTAAAAGAGAAAAAGAAAATGTATAAACAAAAGGTGTTATTTCATTTATCTGGTAAATACTAAGGATGTGAGCACGTTTAACTTTGCTACTGTGAGTTGTCCCACTGAAATCAATGAGACTACTCACAGTAGTCAAGTTAACTACATGTGTGTTGCAGGATTGGAGTCTAATTTTGAATTTTTTTGTAAGTGAAATTGATTAGTACTCCAAGGATCTTTTTGAGAGACAGCAAAAAACTACTTGTTTTCAAAAGATGAATAAATGAACTCAAACTCAATAATAACCAGGAGTAAAGTAAACAGAACCATATCAATACTTTTATCTAATTTTAGGTACAAATGATCATTATTATCTTTTTTAACTAAAGGGAAACGTCTCATAAAATTTTAAAAATCTGAATACAATTTCAAGTAACAGCCTGGTGCCTAAGAAGAGTTTACTCTTTATGTAGTTCCAACAGTGGGGTAAAAGACATTCTAATTTTATTCATTTATATGCTAACAGGGAATTTGATCTACTCCTGATACATGCAGTGATGTACGTCTACCTGCACACTGACCCCCATAACATGCAACCCTTTATCACAACTTAAGGGCAAAATTCTCATGACAAATCTGCAGGTGAGCACCACATTTTGGGGATCTCCCACTGAGCTGTGAATTTTGAGGGGTGAACATTGCTTGGTATCGGCAGAATGAATTTAATTCAGACACTTTGTGCCTGAGGTTCTGAACATCACCCTTTTTCATACCACACAGGTACATCCTTTCATTTTCTTAGGGAAGGTGGGAGTCATTAGGAATTAAATGTAATATAATCTTAGATTTTAGAGCTTTACATTAAGGGATAGGAGACTCCCCCTAAAGGCTTTTCTTCGATGGTGCAGGAAGCCGTATAACCACTTTCCTTTTTTCCCCACTATCTCCAAAGTTTTGAAATACAGTATCCTGATTTCCTTATAAAAAGGCTCAGACCTCTGTTCCTGTTCTGTTTCTGATATAAGGGCATGAGCCTTCCAACACTCCCTGCATGGGAAGTACCCACAAAATGCTCAATCATTTTGGTTCACTAATGTGATTATGTACTGGAAAGTTTCTAAGGAGTTCAGCTTTAGTATTCCTGGTGAAAAATAACAAATCAAGTACAGTGGAATCCTGATTATTTGAATGGCTTGGCAGACACTAAATATGTTCTGATAATCAGGACTATGGATAATTGGGAGTCAGCCAAGAATCAATAGAAAAGGGAGACAAGCTGGCAGTTTGTTAGAAAAAGAGGTTTCAGTAATAGGGATTTTATTGTATTTCTACTTGCTACCACACACATGGAAGATCAGGCTAAAGGGAAAACTTATTTCCAAGGACTGAAGAAGCCCTGCCACTTTATTGCTGGGTTCTATAGCAACTGGAGCTCATTTACAGCAATGTTAAAATACTCTGGATAAACTGAGTCTTGTATCAAACTCAGACTTCCATTTAAAGTAGATTTTACAGATATTAGGCCTCATTTGAGGAAGAAAAATAACCTTCAGTGCTCCTATTTTTAAAGGTACTAAGCACAAAAAAGCAAAACAAATAAAAAAAAAACACAAAAAACCCCCAACACCACTAAAGCCAGGTGACAAATTATTAAATTTCCCCACAAAATTAAGATGAGCTTTCTTCTATTTCTTGAGAGAGCACAGTTTGTGATTCACAGGGTAACTGGTATGATACAAGTTTGTGAAAGCCCTCTTACGAGCAATTTTATTCCTATCCATGATGGCAGACATTTACAAAATCAGAACAATTGACCATTTGGGTTCACCTTAAAAAATAACTTATAAAGCAGTGATATATGCAGCACAGAACAGTTCGGGGGGGGGAGAGGGAACGCAAATTTTAATAGTTAAAATGTAAACGTGAAAAAAAGATGGAATAAAAGTCTCTATTTCTTATTTCTACTTAAGATGTCATGTGATAATATTTTACAATGTCCTGCAGGTCTATATATGTATATGTGTGTGTATGTATGTCAATATAACATATCCACACACATATACATCTATCCGCACTTATACATACACAGGATAATTGTTTGCAGTTCACTCTTGGGCAGTTCTGTTATGCCACTCTTTATAGTTGTTTGAATCATGTTTGGACCCACTTTCTTCACAAAACTGGGGAGATGGTAGGAAAAGATGGTGGGTCTGGTTGTGTCTGAGATCCTTTTGTTAAACTGTACACTGGGACGAGTAATTTTCTTCTGTAGTAGCTCTCTGAAGAGGGCCAACTCACTGCGGTCTTCATGAGGAGACTTGGTATGGATCACACACTCATTGTCATGCTGGGGGAGTACTGAAAAAGAGGAATCCACATTTTAACAACAGTTATTTCACAGCTTACTAACATCCCTCCAAAAGTATAACAACAGTGAGCTTGAATTTCTGTTCATTATTCTCTTTCTCACACAGGTGATTTTAATCTTATCCTATATTTGTACTGTAGCTTGTGTCAGGACTGCAGTGTAATTTGCAATGCATTTTATATTCATTGTATATTTAAATTTATTTATATATAACATACAACACAGCTTATGAAATGAATAAGTAAAACTAGATTGGAGGGTAGCTTTCAGTTGAAGCTAAAGCTCCAGAGGACACTGTTGGCTAACGCTGCGTGCACTTCCTTGGGTACACTACCATTCCCTTCACTGGTTACTGTTGGACATCTTGTGGGCTGCATAGCCTGGTAGAAGGTACTTGTGGACCAGGTACCCATCTGAATGGGGTCTCCACTATATGGGGTGGAAAGGCAGTGGAGAGATGACACGTTGGAATGAAATCAGACTTCTGGATTAATCTTAAATTTTACTACAATATAGATTTTAGGAGGCTAGTTGCATCAAATTTCAGTAGTCATTCTTTATGCAAACTGGAAATCCAATCATTACATTAGACTGCATTATAATTGTAATACAAATTGAACTGCAGCCCTGATACAGGCTACACTCCTCCTCAAGTTAACAATATATCATCACAAGTTATCAATTAGATACCACAAAATCTCCAAGAGATACACATTTTAATTCTTATTTTACTTGGAACTTGAAGGCTGAAGAAATATTTAATTGGCTTAAAGTCCTTTATGTAGGGGAAAATGTCTGGATATAAACATATTGGTATTGTTGAATCTGGTGTGAGATAGTGCTAAATACTAATTTTGCCTTTCTACAAATGATATATAATTAGAAATGACCCAGAGCCCAGGAGTTTGTATCTGACCTTTTCCCAGTGTTGAAGGATGTTCAGAACCAGGGTTTTGGTTAGATCTTCTCTCTAATACAAGATGCTTAGAACAGACTAATTGGGAAAATCTGTTTTGACCTTCATAATTTTCTTTGTTTGGTCTCGTCTGATTTAGGGCTTGTTCCTATCAGCTTCTGAGCCCTCTCATCCTGATCCTGGAAAGCAATTAAGCATGTGCCTAATTTTAAGTATGTGAGCAGTCACTGAATGGGCCCACTCAGGTGTTCAAAGTTAAGCATCTACTTAACTGCTGTGCTGGACTGGGGCCAAAGTGCTCATCCCTCTGGAAGCAGTTGCGGCAGTGAATATATATTGTTCTACGTTTTATACAGTTAAAGTGCTATATAAAGTTATTAATTTTTATTATTGTTGTTATTAACATACTGCCCTTATTTTCAAGCAAACTCCTGGTGAATTTACTGGGAATTTCCTTGAGCAAGGACCCCAGGATTTGGCCTAATAATAATAATATCCATTCTAAGAAGCCAGGGAAGGAAGCGGTAGGTAAGTGGCAGAGAAACAATGACAGAACCCCAGGAGACTAACCTTTGGCTTGTTATTGAGAAAGCCTGGTATCTAGAAATATGACTGTAGCAAAACCTTAGGAAAGTCAAGTCATGGATTCATTCAAGCTGGAAAACAGCAGCCAAGAGCTTTAAGCATACAGTAAGTGTCTGAGAAAACTAATTTTCTGTGGAGTATATAGTATGTATAGTATAGTACATGTCATTCTTTTAATGAGTTTGGTATGGTGAGCTCTCAGATTGTCTGGACTGCATCGAGTATAAGTCAAGCACATGGAATTGAGAGTAAAGCACTATCTTGACTATACAGGCTCAAACTCGATGGGGGAATTTTGGTTACTGCTCTTTTGCAAATTTTGAAACATCACTCTTTTTGTGAAGATCTTTTGTACAAAGTCGTTTTTCCTACCATTTCAAAGAATTCAAAGATGCCCTCTTCATAAAGAAACAAATACTGTAGCTAAAATGTAAAAAATTGCTTGTTCTTCATACTCATGTTAATGTCTACTGAAGAAGCAAAACAAAAATTGAGTGTGATTTTCATGAAACTTGCCGTGCCAATTGACCTTGGTATGAACTAGGAGAAATTATGTTTAATCTTCTTAGATACTGGGCTAAATTAATAGAGTTGTACTCACTTCCGACAGCAGTGAATGCCACTAAGAACAGAAAGTGCTGAAGTCACTCAGCACTTCTGAAAAATCAGGACACTTCTGTTTAGGAGCTTAAATGGGGATTTAGAAATCTAACTTGAGGCACCTGGGCATAAACATTTTGCTCTTTCCTTACTTTGGAAAGTATTTTAAATAATTTTTGTTCAGCCTCAACCACTCAGAATTATTAAGAGTTTCATTTGTCACAAAATGAACACTAGAGGGCATCTTTGTTTTTCTAGACATAAAATCATGTCATGTTTTATGAAATAATAAGTCTTTTAGATTTCTTAGTGGTCTAATTATGTGCTTTCAGTGTAGATACAGTTCTGAAAGACATTCCTACTCTGTAAAACATACTGCCCAAGGTGTCAAAGATTGGAAAGTCACAAACTGAGAGACCACTTTGGAAGATTAACTGAATATGAAGATCTACTACACTGTTCAGATTTTGACCGACAAATGCACATCTCATCGTGCATTTCTGAATATGCATATGTTATGCCCGAATCTAGGATAATTCTTACTCCTTGGCATCTTACTTTTGTCATGTACTGACCACTTAAGTTAGGGATGGAATTTCTGAAGTTACTCTATGCCTCCTGTCTTTTAAAGTTTAAATTCAATCCTTGATATTATTTAGCACAATTTTTGTTCAGCAGATCAATATTATAATATTAGGGACTTGTAAAAATATAGACAAAAATTGTATTAAAGATACAACTGCTTTTCCTGAAAAGAGCCTGGGATTGAGTACCTGTCATATAACAAAATAGTCAAAGAAATACTTACACTCTCACTCTGAAAAGGGTTTAGGAAATTTCCACCCATTTCACCCTCATCTCTGGGAGTGCCAGGCTGATTACTCATGCTCATATTACTGGGAGAGTTCTGGTAAAAAAGATTTAAAAATAAAGGGTAAGTATGTTGTAGATTTGAATTCCTTTCCCTGCTTCATAATGTTTGTCAAAACAACACCTACACTACTCACTGGAATCTCTGAAAATGACACAGAATATATCTTGCCATCACAGCTCTGCACTACGTATATTTGAATGAATGTTTGTAATCTGGAAAAAGCTGTTTCCTCCCTATAAAATGAAGAAAATTACTTACCTGTAGTTCTTGTTCTCAGGTTAGGCCTGGAAGTTTTTCCCACTGAAGTCAGTGGAAAAACTCCACTTGACTTCATTGGGAGCAAGATTATGCTCCGTAATTAAAATAAAGCATTATAGGCCTGATTCACCATTGTTCTTAAGCTCATGCATAACTTTAAGTCCATGAGTAGCGTTCACATGCTTAACGTTAGGCATGTTTTTAAGTACCTTGCTGAACGAAGGCCTATATTTGGGGTCTCCACCACTAGTGTGTGGTTGGTTGGGAATTACCCCAAGATCACAGTTATGAGCTGCTAAACCACTTCACCAGTGGATGTTATGCATGTACTATACCTGTTGCTGAATATAACAGACAGACACCATCTTGACTGTAAGCTCCTTGGGGCTTATTATAACAATCTATAATCCACAAACAACCCCCCACACCAGCTGCCTTTCTCCCCTCTCTTCCTTTGCTACCTATGACTGGAGGGGTGCTAATGGGCTACTTCACCTTGAATGGTCCCTTGAAATGGTCCCTGCACCGCTACAGACTAGGGACCGAATGACTTGGCAGCAGTTCTGCAGAAAAGGACCTAGGGGTTACAGTGGATGAGAAGCTGGATATGAGTCAACAGTGTGCCCTTGTTGCCAAGAAGGCCAATGGCATTTTGGGATGTTTAAGTAGGGGCATTGCAAGCAGATCGAGGGACGTGATCGTTCCCCTCTATTCGACATTGGTGAGGCCTCATCTGGAGTACTGTGTCCAGTTTTGGGCTCCACACTACAAGGAGGATGTGGAAAAATTGGAAAGAGTCCAGCGGAGGGCAACAAAAATGATTAGGGGACTGGAACACATGAGTTATGAGGAGAGGCTGAGGGAACTGGGGATGTTTAGTCTGCGGAAGAGAAGAATGAGGGGGGATTTGATAGCTGCTTTCAACTACCTGAAAGGGGGTTCCAAAGAGGATGGCTCTAGACTGTTCTCAGGGGTAGCAGATGACAGAACAAGGAGTAATGGTCTCATGTTGCAGTGGGGGAGATTTAGGTTGGATATTAGGAAAAACTTTTTCACTAGGAGGGTGGTGAAACACTGGAATGCGTTACCTAGGGAGGTGGTGGAATCTCCTTCCTTAGAAGTTTTTAAGGTCAGGCTTGACAAAGCCCTGGCTGGGATGATTTAACTGGGAATTGGTCCTGCTTTGAGCAGGGGGTTGGACTAGATGACCTCCTGAGGTCCCTTCCAACCCTGATATTCTACGATTCTATGAACTATGTATTAACTACTTATGGTAAACAAACTGTTCCACCTTGTATTCAGCTATGACAATCTGAGTACTGAAGAAGAGCTCTTGTTTGCTCAAAAGCTTGTCTCTCTCACCAACAGAAGTCGGTCCAATTAAACATATTACCTTACTCACCTTGTCTCTCTTAGAACAAAGAAGATACTTTCACTCTAAGGCTATGTCTACATTTGCACTTCTGTCAGTATAACGTATGTCACTCGGGGTGTGAAAAACCACCCCCCTGGGCGACATCAGTTACACTGACAGAAGCGCCAGTGTGGACAGCACTATGTTGGTGGGAGATGCTCTTCTGCCAACATAGCTACCGTCACTCTTTGGAGGTGGTTTAACTCTGTCAACGAGAGAGCTGTGATGCTGTAAGGTCTCTAGTGTAGACATGGCCTAAGCCCCTAGTTTTAGGTACTTCTGACTTTTTCAAAAGCTAGTCTTTGGGCTGAAATTTCTTCTGCTTCCCTTCAGCTAGAGCAAGGAAAGGTATGGTTGAAAAAAGTAAACACCGCAGTTTGATTCAGCATGGTTTTGCCATGAAACAACCTTTTTATGTTAGTGTGGAGGTATGAATCTGATGAACTTAAACTTCCAAGGGAAGAGTTTGCCATCTTCATCCTGGGAATCATCTACTTCCGTTCTCTCAATGTAGGCATTCTGCAATAAGCCTGGAGGTGGTCTTGCAAGAACTCAAGCTCTAGAGAACCTACAAGTTCTGGCACTGCACCTGCTGCAGTATGGTAGCTAGAGGGTCTCTGCTCATAGGTTGACTTCCATTGACTTCAGTGGGGACAAAATTGGGCCCTATAATTATAATAGCTCACTATATTTTTTAGTTTGTGCTACCAGTGTGCATAATAATCTTAAAATAGCTCAAAGTTATGAGCTACTAAACCACTTTACCAGTGGATATTTGATACAGGTATTTTGCATAGCTTTACTTTTAGCTCAAAGTTGCATGTTTTCTTCAAAAGCTTTAAAAATCTTGTTAGGTTTTTTTTAAAAGTTATTTAAATGCGTTAAGGGTTTGTTCTATTGTGTTTTTTCACTTGGGTAACAAAAGAGGTTTTGTTTTAACAGTTAAATATAGCAAGTGTGTATTATTATTAAGGAACACTGATTTTTCATGTGTGAAAATAGCTGGTTGAGAATAAAGAAGTAACAAAATATAACAGTATGGTGCTTGCGTGCAGTATGCTACTTTCCTTTCTGAATTAACGATGCACTGATTGCCAGATAGCAGCTGGCATGAGTATGCCTATATGCGGATAGCTACACATTCAGAGAAAAACACATTCATGTCAATGATTCAAAATACATGTAAGACCTTTCAAATAAATGCACTCTTTACTCAGTGGGTTTGACTCTTTGACTGAAACAAATACAGACGGGGTAAAATTCCACTTGTTGGAGAAAGGTCACTGCCAGGTGCTACATCACAGAAGACCTGTAGTATCCCTCTTGGGTGAGGAGGGCAGCCTCCACAGCTACTGTGCAGAAGGGCTCTGAAGTGGCTCAAAATATTGGTGGGCAAGCCATGGGGAGGGGTTACTGGATCTCTGCTTACATGCATCCAGAAACCTGAAACACCCCTGTGTGGGACAGAAGTACAGCAACTGCTACTCCAGTTTGAAGGCTGCATCAATGACTATGAAGGGGTGCAGAGAAGTTTGGGGTATGGATTAGATCCACCCCCAACCACTAGGCTCCAATTTACATATGCTTTGTGGGGAGTGGGAAGGAGTTGTGAGTTTCATGCATAAAACATTTATTATAGCAATCATGGCTCTTCCTTTTTCCTTTTTAATCAAAAACTTAAATGCAAAAAACCTGTCAATGTAATATTACTGTTGAGATTGTATATGTACAAATGCCAGGAGGCTCAAAGTTTGGATTATCACATCAAACCTAATGCAGTCATCTATCACTTAACATACATTCTATCAAGTCATGTAAGTTAACACTATATAGCATAGCACAAAACACTACATTTCCGCAAGGGGACCAAGTTACGCTTGGTATGAGAATCATAACTCCATTTGTCATCTTTTGTGCATGTTAAATCTCAACTACATTAACATCTGTTTAATACAAAGATTTTTTTAAAGCTTGTTTATATCAGAACACATTCTTTTATTAAAATAAATGCATAGAAACATCATTCAGTGACAGTCAAGGTTGAATCAGGACACACTTCCACTAATTTAGAATCCAAAAAGCAAGTTAGGGGAAAAGTCTCCTGCATTCCTTGCTACTCTCATATAACTGACAGCAATATTAATAACATACTCCAACACTCCATAAGGCTTTCACTTCCACCTCCATGCAGATACTGAAAAACAATATGACACCAACTTCCTCAAACTTTGGTACAAACCCTTAACAATGGCAAAAATGCTTTTCTATCAACAAATCGGCACAGCTAACTGTCACACACTTAATACATTTAGGAAATTATTCTGCCTTAACATTTCTGAGGTTGCTGTTAAATGTTTGCCCCCAACTCCCGCAGAGTCAGAATTTTACCCTAAGTAGCTGTGTAAGGCCAAATACGATGGGTTAAGTGTAGCATGTTTCTTTCCCATTATGAAGAAGATGTTAAAAATCATGATACAAACATCACATAGGTATAACTTATACTGTTATTTATCAGCACATGAAGAGCAGCATGTGGTACAAGTCACAGATCTCAGAGTGCTTTATTTTTTTGCAAAAGGTAACCAAAAGGTGGTGTAACAACCCCCCCAAAACTAAAAAAATTGGTAATTTTGCTACTATTCTTTCTGTATCAAACCAATTTTCATCAGACAACCAGGAAAAATTAAATTAGTGTTCAAAGTTTACTTTCTGTGTTTGGGTTTTTTCCATTTTATTTATTCACATGAAGGTTTTTAATTTCTGAATCAACGTTAACTGTGGAGTCATGACCAGTGACTCCATAATATATAAGCTGCTGTAGTGTTAGGCATAAATAGTTAAAAAGCAGCTAACCCTTGTAAAATTTATTTTATGTGATCTTTCAGCACTTTTGTTTGTTCCTTAGAGATCTACGCCTATTTATTCTTTCTGTTTTTCCCTGTGTAGCACTGAACTTTGAATTTTTGCATTCGCTACAGTATGCCTGCCCCAAAGATTCAAATTCCTGACATAAATGCTTTCATAACAACTCTTGCTGGGCTGCTTTGACGGCCAGTATGAAGCCTAGTGCAGCTGCATGAGCAAAGCCTCCACAGCAAGTTTTTCTTTGATGCCTGCACGAATTCCACTGGTAATTCAAGAAGTTTTGGTTATTAGTACGGCTGTCAAGCGATTAAAAAAATTAATCGCAATTAATTGTGCAATTAAAAAAATTATGATTAATCCCGTGATTGATCGCACTGTTAAACAATAATAGAATACCATTTATTTTAAATATTTTGGATGTTTTCTACATTTTCAAATATATTGATTTCAATTATAACACAGGTTTCAGAGGAACAGCCGTGTTAGTCTGTATTCG